ACTTCTTTGCTTTAATTGCATAAACTCTATTTATTTCGCTCTTCTCACATCATTAGGAAAATATTTTTCTAAAAATTTTGTTCTAAACACTTCCCAAGTAATGATTATTCTTCCTCCTTCTAGTAATCTCCTAGTACTATCCCACCAATATTCAGCCTCTCCTATCAACATAAACACAACATAATTCACCTTTTGTTCATCAGGACAATTCATAACTTGAAATATTTTTTCCAATTCTTTAATCCATAATTTAACCTTTTCTTGGTTATAATCTCCAGAAAATTGCGGAGGTTTGTTTCTCCTAAATTCAACTAAACCTTGTGATCCATTGGTTCCTTCAGGTCTTTGGTTCCTTAATAATGCAGCGGCCATGTCTCGGATAGCTTGTACCGCTTCTGTCAACTCGTTGCTCCTTCTATTATTTGTCATCTGGAATTATATAAGTTAGGATTCATATGATATCGGGATATACTCATTTCACATGTCACACATGAAACGTTGCTTCGATACCATCTAATGTGACATTTTTTTTTATTATTTTTATAAGAGTAGTAGGTAAAAAAAATTACATATATGTAAAAGTAATTTACATCACTATATATATATATATATATATATATATATATATATATATATATATATATATATATATATATATATATATATATATATAAGATATACAAAAGAAGAAGGAATTTTATTTCGATTCCTTCTATTTTTTCTACATTTATACAAATATCTACATTGCTGGTGGAAACAAACTGATTAAGGGGTTTTGGTAAAAGGTAGGAGGCATATAGAAGGTAATCACTATTGGTCCATCTAACATAATGAAATTTCTCATATCAAATGCAAATGTTATTATTGATAATCCTGTTCCTTTAAAAGTAACTGAGTTATCTATAACGTTCATGTTCCAAGTAGTTCCTGGAAAGAAGGCAGTGATACTTCCAAAAAAGGGATTTGGGATATTTGGCGCCTCCATCTACTTAAGTTGGTATTTCAATAAAACATGCACAAAAGATCACAATAGGGAGTGAGAACATTTATCTTTTACAATAATACAATCATATAATATATATATATATATATGTTTTAACTTCCTCAACACATTTATTTTATGAAGATTTAAATTAAATTTGTAGTAACTAATCAAGATAAATGAGCCCAATTTTAATCACTCTCCAGTGATATTTACTCGTTTAAATCCCCAAGGTCCAACCTCTATCTACAATATCATCAAATCTTCACAAATAGATATTATTATAATTAAATAATATAACTGTAAATTAATAAATAGGATCGTTGTATTACTAGAGATAAAATAAAGTAAACAAACATGACCAATACATAACTGGAGATAATTAAAATAGGACCAGTGCAAGACTGAAGATAAAGTAAGATAAACAAACAGGACCAGTACATAACTGGAAATAATTAAAATAGGACCAGTGCAAGACTGGAGATAAAGTAAGATAAACAAACATAAGACATGACCATTACGTAGTTAAAGATAAATAAACAAATAATTAAATAAATAGAATGAGGTTAAGGACACCTCACTCCATAACTATAAGCAAAATAAAATAAATTTAATGATAATATTCTCCTCCCCTACCTTAAGAACTGCAAATGATGTACCAAAATTTTACAGAGGTGACTTATCTTTCTCTCCTTATCTTCCTCTCCCTTTCTTTCTTTCCCTCTCTCTTTCTCTTTCTCTCCCTCTCTCTTTTTTTTCTTTCTCTCCCTCTCTCTCCTTCCTCTCCCTCTCTTCTTCTCTCTATTTTTTTCTTCTTCTTCCTTTCTCCATCTCGTAACCCTTATTTATAATAATAAATAAATAATTATTTTTTTACTTGCATTTAATGCAAGAGATAGGATAAGATTTTATTATTACTTTTTATTTATTATTTTAATCATTATCTCTTAAAAAGATAAGATAATGTTAATCTTTTAAAATATTAAAAATTTACATTAATTTGAATGTGACAGTCATCCTTAATTTCCATTCTAGTTCTTGTCTTGTTTATATAACAATAAAGATTACAAAATCTAATCAATTTGTCACCTAAACAAATTAGTCAGCTAAATGTCATGAAAAATAAAGGGAAATGGCAATGTTTTATTTTTAAGGATAATTAGTGAATTATTTTAGATGAAATATCACTTTCAAGGAGTTATGTTTGAGAAATTCATGTTGTTTGTTAATTTTAATATCTAATAATAAATTATAATTAAAATTTTATATTAAATCAATGGTTAATTTTTTAATCTTTATTAATTTCAATTAGTTTGTAGTTAAAAAATAATTTTTATAACATTTTTAAAAAATATTATAATTCTATTAATTATGAAATAATTGATATTGAATGCATTAGTGAAAAATAATTTGCAATAGAGGACTAAATGAGAGAAGGCAAAAATATAAAGATACACTTTAAGTTAATTTTTTTAATAAAAGTGGAAAAATAATGTAAAAATAAGACATTTTTAGAGTCACTTATAATTTACAATACATAATATATTATAATAATATAATAATTATAATAATATAATACTAATGAGAGGATCAAAACAAAACTCATGACAAAACAAAAAAAAAATATAAATTCAAGTAAATATTATTTATTTTTAATAATTTCCAAATCAATGATTCCTAATAAAATTAGAAATAACCCTCCACCAAACACAATTATTTTTTGTCTAAGACTATAGTTATTAACTAAATTATGAACATATATTTCTTTTTCTAAAAATGTAAGAATACTTAAAGATAATAAAATAAAAAATATCATATTTTTCTATCTCATGTTACTTTCAAGACACAATATTAAAAATATTTTAAAAAATAACCATTAAGAAATGTTATTCTAATAAAAATTTTCTATACATTTAAAGTAACTATTATAATAATAATTTTTATCTAAATAATATTTATAATATTAATTATTCTGTCTAAGAATTAGAAAATAGTTTTATGTTCACTGGATTAAATAAATGATCTAATGATATTTAAAATTTTAGTTTATCATAATTTTATTTTTTAAAAATATCTCAGTATATTAAAAGAAAATGATGTATATAAATTATCTTTTATCTTAATTCTTAGGATGTAAAATTCATGAACATACTGTAACACTAATATTATATATACTATTTTAAAAATTGAACTAGATCGATCAGTTCAATAAGTTTAACCAAGAATCAGTATATTACTTTCAAATAACTGGATTTTAATTAGATTAGGATAAAACCAAATTTTAAATATATATATATATATATATATATATATATATATATATATATATATATATATATATATATATATAAAACCAAGTTGAAAAACGTAAAAATTAAAATTAACCGTAAGAAATAATTAAAGAAACAATATGTTTTAGGAAAATAAAAAGGAAAAGCTATTCTATTCTGCACTGATATACTTCGATCATAGAATGGAAGTGTCAGAAATCACTTAAAGGAGAAGACAAAGCTTTGAATATCTCTTAATATTATATATATCATATCAACAATAACATTTTTATAAAAAGAATTGTTGCTAAACAGTTCAATCGGTCATACACAAACTGGGACAGCCAGAAGCTTTGATGCAATTGTCCCACTTACTTCTAACCTTGTACTTTAAATATTTTATTAACTTGTTTTTAATGAAATAATATTTTTATAGTTAAACTATTTATGTATTATTTGTATATATTAATTAATTAGTAATTAAATATGAATCTGTAAATAGTATGAATGAGGTGTTTTTTTAAGGCCAGGAATCAACCAAATACATCGTGGCATGCCAAGTGTGGCTTTCTGAAATGGTCCTCGCCATACAAAACTTTACCCCACACCTCAATATCATACCTTGTGTTATCAATTCCTCCATTGTCAACTTCAGGAAGAAAATTTACCACGTCTTCCTGCAAATTTCTTTTGGTCGCTCTCACCTTGGCATTGTATTGTAAGTATGCATATAATTTTAATTTATGCTTCAACCAAATCATTCATTCGAACGAGATCCAGAAAACATTTGTGTTCATATGGGGTTAATGGCCTTTGGATGTTCGTATCATTTCCCAAATGGTGTCTCAAAGGCCAATTTTAAAATGTTGAGAACATGACTTGATCGATGTAACAATTCAATGTGGCTGCAAAAACGCTCTGCATATTTTGATTTCTTATTTTGTATCTTGCAATTGTAATTGTGACGGTGAAGTTGTTCATATCATGTTTCATCAAATACAATTATCTCTTTTTGTTATTGGATGTTTTATAAGCGACAATTTTCATTTTGTTCTTATATTTTTTTTGCTGTATCATGTTTTGCATTCTAATGCAGATGGTACGTGCTCAACTAAAATTTAAGATTATATATATGATTGTTTCTTTTCTACTTTGGTAACCACATGCATAAAGTAAATGATTGAACTAAAAAAATTAGTGTCATTCAAGTCATTTGAAAATAGTTTTTCTTGTATTTTTTTTATATTAAATCAACAATAATTTTTTCATTATCAATATTTTTTAAAATTTATTTTTAATAGAAATTAGCGCAAGATTATCTATCTTATAAGACATAGTAGAACGTAAATAGGATTTTTTTAAATTATTCTACTAGATGCAACACTAATAAAAATAGTTAATGTTATTATATAGGCTATACATCAAGTAAATGTCTTCAAAATACTCAATATTTCAAAATTTGATTTGAATTCAATTGTTAAAACTTTTCCAATGACTTTTAATTCTCAAAACAAATTTTTCATATGTGGGTAATAAACATGATCATATTTTACATATTATATTACTCTTATCTTAATTTTCTTATGTTAGGAATGAAAATGTGACTAATTATCCTATAACGTCGATTATGAAGTTTATGATTCATTTATATACTATGATTTAATCCTATCTCAAATTGAGGTGGGATTTTATTATGGTATTTTTATATTACAAAAATGTTGATTCATTCGATTATTTCATCTTTCAGGATGGCCATCAGCTTCAGTTATTGGGATGACTGCGTTGACCCCGAAGATCTTGAGGCAATGTGGAATGTAGCTGATGTGAGTGCTGAATGGATAAAAGCTGGAGAAGACAGATCTCAGAAGGTTCACCTCTCACGTGATCCCGATGGACAGCCATATTTAACACAAACTGAAATGAGGGTAAACACATTTCTCTACCAACTTTGGAATTTACCTGGTTCTTCTATTAACACACTGTTCAGTATTTCCTAAAGGTTTCTGATTATTATGTAAGATACTTTTAAAAGATATTTGAGCCTTATTTTTCAAATTTGTAAACATCAAAACGTGTTCACAAATGGAGATGAAGTATATATATAGTGATTCAAATTAATTAATTATCATAAATTCAGACCAGGAATACAACCTAATATAGAAATGATTGTTTTACTGTTCTAATCTTTGGAATATAAGGGCCACTCCCTTAGTATAATGAGCTTTATGAATGTTTGGGTTCCTTCTATGATTCTGGAACTCCTTAATTATAAAAGTAAGGAAGCCATGAAAGGTAATTTAATTGCATTAAAAGTGTATGCTAGATTCAAAATAAGTTGCCTAGTTGATTATTTCCTTGTGTTTTTACTTTCAGGCTGTAGCTGACATTATTATTGGCAGGGACTTTAACTCCGAGTTAGATCTTGTAAGTTTTCTTTATCAAAAAACCCTAAATAATAAGACTCACTGTTACCATTTTCATTATAATAAAAGTATGGTTTACATAATTATGATCCCTCTAAGAACTCGACTAAGCCCAGTTACACAGTGCTTAGTTAAGGATTTTTCCATGAACATCAACCAACGATAGTAAACTATAAGTGAGGCCTTTCTATCCTTGTTGCAGGGCATGATGTGTGCTATTGCTGAACTGGAAAGTGATAGGCAACTACTTGTTACAAATTCTAGCAACATATCTGGAGAGCCTAGTATGGGGCTTATGCAACTCTTGCCCAAAACTACAAGGTGGTTGATGAGGTACTCACTAGATGTTGATACCTTATTCCATGTACCTTATTTATTATGTTTCACCAAGGTTGACTTCAGCTTGCAGTGAATTAGGATATTGTTCATATGAAATGCAAGAGGATACACAATTCCTTTTCAAACCCTTTGTAAATGTATATTTTGGTGCTGCTTATATTAAATGGCTGTCAAACTTTGATAACAAGTAAGTTATTATACATACTTCCCATGATGAATGTATACAGTGTGCTCTGGCAATGAATATTGGGTGTTAATCTGTTCTGAAATGTTTATCTCATCGTGCACATTGCAGAAAAAGAAGTGAAGAGTTTATTGTAAGGGCATATAAAGGTAGTACGAAGAAGGCAACTCATAAATCAACTTTGCGCTATTGGAAAAGCTATCTCTCTGTCAAAGAAAGTTTTCCGTACAGGAGGTTCCTCCTTTTCCATAATGATAATTTTAGTTATTTTGCACACTTTTGATAAAACAATATCAAATCATTATTTTTGTTCAGAAAATCTGTTGAGGGCAGTCCTCCACCAGCATGTGTTCCGGTTCCTGCTTCATCAGAAAACTCAAAAGGTCACTTTCTCTTCCCTTATTAACTTGTTATTTCTCAAGGTCTTCTGCTTCATCTCATTGTTTCGGTTTGAATTTTGAAATCTAGCTTCATTCTAATATTCCTTATCATCCTTTAGTTTATTAGGTAGTATTTTTTGACATGTTTATAGTTTTTTTATGTAAAAGAAATACATCAGAAGAGTCAAAACTAATACTCATAATACCAAAACAATGATCAAATCCTAAAAGTTTTTATCCACACAACTCAGAAAGCTAATCCAGACCAAGAACAGCACATATAAACCCAAACAATCAACACTCTTCATTAACTGTACAGCATCACGTGCTCTAATTGTATAGTCATTAATGAGATTCAAACCAACCAATTACCAATTATTATATATGATATTGTCAATATAAAATTTTAAGAAATTAATTTATGAGTACAAACCTACCAATTACCAATTATATATATATATATATATATATATATATATATATATATAATTTTTAAATGAATTAATTTTAACTTATGAAAAAGTTAATTTTATTTCTTTCTTTTTCTCTAGGTTATTAGAAAAAAATGTTTAAATATTCCATCGTTACTTTGCATAGAGATAGAGTAATATGCATATCATTCAAATTTAATGTTGTGATTCTAGTTTGTTATCAAGTTATCATTCTCTGACTCGGAGTCTTTTACACTCATGAGAGGTCTAGATATTGTTGGATTGATGAACTTGACTCGTAGATGCTTAACAGTTTATTTAAGATAAAAAGATGAATTTAATAAAAAATAAAAATATGATAATTAATTTTATGATAAAAAAAATATAAATATGATAATATTAATAATCAACATTTTAAAATTTCACCATTTATATCAAAAATAACGTAATAGGTTAAAAAAACAAAAGAATCTTAGAACATTAAAAAAAAACTAGAATAAACAGTAAAATACCGTTAATCCAAAACACGAAAAAAAAGTGAGAAAAAAAAAAAGACCAAATCAAGGAAAAGAGAGAAGTAGAAGATAAAGAGAAAAAAAGTGCAAAGTTTTTAAGTTGCAGTGACTTGGGAATAACTACTATGAACGGAGGAGAATGACCACCATGAATGACAGTGAACGCCGACTGCAAATGGTGGCGAACGGGTGGTGACGACGAATGACAATGAACAGGTGGTGACGACGAATGACGGTGACTGGGTGGTAACTGCAAACGAAGACAAATAGCGTGACAACTGCGAATGTAAACATTGTGGTTTTTGAACGTGAACTGCAAATCATGGTGGTTGCGAACGCCTAACAGTGGTGACGCAAATGAAAACCATGACTTGTGCATTGAGGATAGAAGACGTTAATGGTGGAGAAGGTGCACGACAAACAATGACTTCATGCAGATTAGACCGAACAACCTACGTACATGTAATTTTGGGTGTTTCACCATACTCGTTCATTCGCGTCAAACATAAGAGTTTGCACCGAGTTTGTCCAAAATAGAATCTACTCACAAGTCAACGCTTGACCAAACTCTTAAATTTGGAAGGATTCACGAGTTAATCTTAGAGTTTGGTATTCATCTAGAGTGCATTGCTTTTAAGTAGATATTTATCTTCATTTGTATTTATTCCTTATGAAAGCCATAAATATTGATATGATTTTAGTTATGTAATAAAAACATTCAAAAAATTAGCCATTACTTGTATTGCTATCTTGGCTTACATATTCTTTATATTTATGAAGATGGAAGTGATGAAGCATGTTGGGATTCCATAGTATCCCCAGAAGATATGGAAGCTATGTGGAATCAAGTTGAGGTTCGAAAATTGTGGAATAGATCCAAACAAAAGAGAGGAAAAGTGAGGCTTATTCTTGACGAAAATAAGAGACCGTATATTTCTCGGCTGGAAATGAAGGTATATACGAATCTATTTCTAAGTAATTACAATACATATTCATTTAAAAACTTCACAAATATATTATCTATTACCTTTTTAGTTTGGAAAAAACTTAGATATGTACTGTGCTTTGGTCTGGTTTTTCAATTAGAATTAACCCTTTGCCTCATAATGTGTATATATAATAGAGAATTATGTTAAACATCATGGAGTATTATGGAAATAAAACATTAATTCTTACCGGAGAATAATACCCACATATTTTTTTTCCAAGATTACATTTTAATAGTGAATAAGGGTATAGTAGGAGTAAACAAGAAATTAATTGAAAAAAATGCTATATTAGAAAGTTACTTAATAAATTTTATGAAGTAAAAACATTAACAATATGTTTTTTAATGTAGTAGTCCATTTTTACAATACTGTTTAAAAAAGTTAAACATTATAATAAAACTTTAAATTATTCAATACAAAAGATAAATATGTATTTTATAACGATATTACAAAATAATAATAAAATGGCATCTTAAAGAAAGCGACAATTATATCATCTTATATAACACAATTCAAAAAATTCTAGAATATTGTAATGTATTGTGGTTAAAGAAATTGAGTTTTATTATCCAAGCTAAGTTATAGATTAATATGCAATTATGTGTAATTATTTTCTAATATCCCCATACATTGAAGGTTCAAAGATGTCAATAAATTTGAGTATGGATAGATTAACTTTGAACACTATTGGAATAATGCTTTGGTGAAGATGTTGAACAATTGAGTAGAAGCTGAAATTCATCTTTCACATGACAATTAATATTTAGATAATTGGTTAGTTTGTGAAAAATGGATTAACATCTAAGTGCAACAAGTGTTAATTATCATAAAATAAAATCGATGATTGCTCACAAGAACATAAAGATCCTGTAATAAAGGAATGAATTATTGCAACTCAAGTGGTAGAAGAAAGCATTCTATATTTCACCTCTAATTATTCTTGAATAATATATTGTTTCTTCATCTTCTAAGTAATGAAGTACCTCCAATGAAGAAATAATACAAGATAATAGATATATAGGTATATAAGTAGTTCAATCTACATCTCTAAATCCTTGGGGAAGAAATAATACAAGATAATAGATATGTAGGTATATAAGTAGTTCAGTCTAAACCCCTGAATCCTTGGATTTGAGCTGTGAATTATCTACTAAAAATTAGACATTTGACAACTCTTTAGGTATTCAAACACTTTGACGGCAACCTCAAAATAAACTTCTTATAATTTGACTTAATTGTTTGATAACATAGAAAATATCTCGCTCCACGTTGTTAAGATAAATCAAGTGACCACCTAGCATCTATAAGGAAAAGGTCCAAAAGAAATTCTCTAAAATTTTGGCTTCGATGAAATAAACTATTCATGAGTATTGATGTCGAATTTAAACCTTATAAACATAATTAATTCAAGACAATATTTTATTTGACACAATAAAATTCTTGTGAACAAGTGAGTTATCTCTAAAAAAAAAAAGACATTTCAACATCTCAAGATCTTTTATTTAAAAGTGTGAGGGAATGATCTACTTAATATTTACCATTTTCTTAATATTGTTTCTAACGAGTATAATCTCATTAACATGTATCACTAAATACATTATGACCTAAATGAGCTTCACAATATCCATAAGATAAGAGATAAGATAAGAAAAATAATGATAATTTCTCATACCATAAATGACTTATTAGCTTCAATGTAGGACTTTAGGAATTTGCAGTACTAAGTAGGTTGATCAATGTCAATTTTAAGATGAATGATCATATACACATCTTTAATCAAATATCTATAAAGAAACATGTTGATATTCAATATGTCAAATTGTTATCGCTTAATAGAAGTCATAATAAGAATGACGGTATAGTAGTCATCAGTAAAAAAGTTTTAATATAATCAATTTCCTCTATTTGAGCATATCTATTTGCAACCAATTGAACTTTGAATTATTCCTCAATCTCATCGTGAATTTTGCTTAATTTTGTAGATATACTTGCATATGATAGGATGAGTGTTTAAGGGTGTCCCATGATATTTTAGGTTTTGTTCAATTTGGATGCTTCCACCTTATATCCTATTGCTTCAAATTAACATTTGTGCTAAACAACCTCTTCATAACTCATTGACTCAAATTTAAAGGATGAAGTCATTATTGGACTTACTAGAATGAAGCTTAGGTGGTGTAAGTGACAATTTAATGACAGATATAGTAGGAAAATTTAAAGTTTAAATATTTGAATAAGGAACTTACTACATGAAATTCATTTAGCAATTTGATTTGAATGAGTTTGATTTAAAATGGTTTAAAAATGAAGTTATATGATATGCGATCCTTAAAACAATTATCCAGGGGTAGATATCATTATTACCAAATTTCATACTAAAATGAGTACTTAGGTCAATTTTTGAAACATGGGAGACATTAACCTAACTTGTGTGAGACTTGACATTTGGGTTTGAATTTCTTAACATTAACCTAACTTGTGTGAGACTTGACATGTGGATTTGAATTTCTTGAGTTATTAAGTTGATCAATGAGGATAACAAACCTTTGATATTCGTGTGGACTCAAACCAAAACTTAATGCCACTTCAATTTTATTGTCTTTATCTTCCTCCGACCCTTATTTGTTGGAGTTATTCACTACGAGAGGAAATGAGTACGCAGTACAAGAGTCCTCCTTATCATGTTTACTTGTTTCTCCTTCTCCTGACAGGCTGTGGCAGATATAGTTCTATTCAAACACCTCAGCACAATGAAAATTAAATCTGTAAGTATGCATTGACAAGTTTGGTTTTACCATAAATTGAAGATGATTGTAATTAATGCTGTCCTGCCTTGCCTATAACACACCTAAACAAGTTGAGAACCCTTAGTAGAATTTATTTTCATTTAAAAATAATTTCAATTTTTTCCTATTTTTGAAATTAAATCCTCCACAATAAAGCAAGCGATTGGTTAATTCAATAATAAATAAGAAAAAAAGATTAGTGCTCTATTTATTTGGTATCATCCAACCCATCCAGTTAAATTGTTTATTTATTCAATTTCAATGATTGGAAATGTGTGTAATAATGATATCCTAAATTGAAAAATGGACAAGCTTTTCCATTTTGAAAAATGTGCCTACACCAATAATGAAATGGTATTTTAAATTGAAAGATAAACAAGTTTTTGAATTTCAATTTCAACCTTAAGAATGAAAAATAAGTGGTTGATAGATATTCCATTCAAAGTGATCAATTAGAATTTTTTTTTCGTTATTGAAATTAATTATTAATAAAGCTAACAGTAACATAATTATTAAAAAATATTCTAAATTATAAATCTTAAACAAAATACAAATAAAACTATATATCCAAAGTTTCTGTATTATTTCTCTATTGATAATTATTTAACCCCTTCTCATCAATGACCAAATGTATTCTTGGTTAAATTTTCCATTTGAAGATGCTTTTAAATAATTTTCTTGGTCAAATGTTTTGACAAGAGTGATGCATAAAACAAAACATTATGGATGAGATACGTTTCTTGGGAGGTGGAAGACTTACTTTTTAGTGCACATTTAATTAATTTTGTTATCTTTTGAAGTAAATTTTTTTGATTATATATTAAAAAAAATGTTTGGAAGACAATATTTTTTGTTATTTGGGTGTATGTTTGCATATTTTACATGTGTTTTTTTCAAATGTATACAATTAATAAACACTAGTTTCTTCTTATTTTTGTGGAATATATTTTGGTGCAGACAGTAATTTGTGCCATCGGGGAGGTTTTAAGCAAGCGTTTTGTAGATGGATTGGAAGAGCGACCTGGAATAATGGGCATTGACTATTCAACTGCTTATTGGCTTTATTTGTATGTGTAGCACATCCAACATTATATGTTTTGTTGATCAAACATTGTATCTATGTGAATTTAACATACTTTGTTATTGTTGGAAATTTGTATTATTTTGAGATTATATATGTTCAATGTCTTGTTTTGTTCAGGGAATTGGGATACAGAGATTATAAACTCGAATCTGTAGAAGATCTTAAAAATCCTTTTGTGTCCATGTACTTTGGTGCTGCCTATGTAGCATGGTTGGCAACATATGAAGAAAGGCATGTCTAATTTAATCACTATTAAATGTTTTTCCTCATTTAATTACATTTATTGGTCCTACTGTTTTGTGATTCAGGGAAAGAACACCAGACTTTTTTGTTCAAGCATATTTTGTAGGACCTACAAATGTGAACCCTGAAGAGACAAGTACACTCTGGCTAAAATTTGAGGAAACCCTCAGTAAATTTGAGGAGTCAAGAAGGTAAAAAATTTTGAATGCTCACCCTTTTCATTGGAATTTATAAAGACACGGTAGAACTTAATGTTCAAAACGTTTTCAAACACAACCTTTCTTTTAGTTAATACATCCTTCATATTTTAAGACAAGAGGATTATTTTTATTTTGTGTGACTTGTGGGAGGATAATCTAATAATATATACGAATTTGTTTTACAGGGATAGTGATACGTGCTGTATCATGTAAGCAGAGTACCTTCCAATTATGATTACGATCAGGACTCAATCCCAATATGTTATTTCATTTGAGAGTTGTATAATTGTAAGAAAACCAAAAAGAAAATCTTAAACACATTATCAACTTGTTTCTCGTATCAATAATAATCTTAAGGCGGTATGTAAAGTTGATAATAAACCCTATAGATACAAATATTTAATTCATGTCAAGTATTAATAGGATTTTTAATATATGTTTGTAATTATTTTTGGACTTCATTCCACATACATAGTCTTCAAATTTCAATATGATCATATGTACAAGTTCACCTTTGAAGATTTGTTCATATTTTCTCTCCATGCTAATTCCAAGTCACTTTTACTTTGAAATTTCGGTAGGTTTGAGATCTTTGTCTAGTTGCTCCTCTCTCTCTCTTTTTTTTTTTTTCTTGTTCCTCTTTTTTTTTTTTTTTTTTAAATGCATCTTAGTCTTGCCCATTAGATCCTCCGCCCGTGGCATTTTGGAGAAGAGGTAGGAGTGGTGATCAGGACAGATTGATTAAGAAAGAAAATAATAAGAAAAAAAAATTTGATTAAAAGCCTCTTTGTTTGCATAATATAATAAAAATAATTATCATAGAAGAATAAGAAAAGGTTCTTTAAAGTAAAAAAAAAGTTGTTATCTAACTTAAGTTGTTATCCAATCTCATTTTATTCGAGTTTGGACAATGATCATCATTCATTACATTAGGTAATAATTACATTTATATTCTTTAATTTGTTTATTACATTATTACTTAAAATATAAAAATTAAATTAGTTTGTTAGTAATAAAAAAAACTAAAATAAATATTTTGTAATTATACCTTTAAATGCAATTATGTAAACTTTTGTCGTCTTCTACTTAACTTACCGTTTGTTATATTTTAAAAAACCACTAATAACATGTGCACTTAATTAAAATATAAAAACATAACTATAATATAATTATCTATAAAAAGAACCAAAATTTGATATCAATTTACTATTTGTTTAAGAAATATATGTGACTTTTTGTGCAACGAACAAAATCATGTAGCTATGTTGTCAATAATAGATATGACAAACAATTATTAATGATGACTAAACATTGAAACATTTTAAAATTAATTAAAATTAGAATTGAGTAAAGATAAATTATATAGAGAATATACTTACTCATAAACATATGGTACCAAATAAATCTTTTTTCTTAATAAGAGAGTATTTGTGATGAATGTTTGTGTCTCTACTTTCTTAATACTCAATGGTTGAATAAGTTGAAGATCTAAAAATTTATACACCTCATCTTTCCCCTCATTCACACATAACCGAGCTATATGCTTATAACGAGTGATATAGTGATTATTGAATTATTTTAATAACTAATATAGAAAGAATCTTAGTTTAAATAACTTACATCATCCACAATTAGGGTGTCAAAGTGAGTCAATCCGACTCACACGGGTTGAGTTGAAAATAGGTGAGTTTAACCTGACTCATTTTTTGGCGAGCTAGAAATTTTACAACCTAGCTCAACCCACTATGTATTGGTGGGTTGGTTCACTAATCCATATTTTTTTTAATTTTTTAAATTATATATATAACACAATGACATTATAAAGATACTAAGTGAATAAATTTAACATTTAAATCATTCAAATACTCTTAAACCACATTATAATCTTAAAAAAACCAAAGTATCATCCTACTACATAAATAAAATTAGCAAATAACTATATATGTATAGATGCTACAATTTTCAAATAAAGATTCATCAATAAATTTGTTTAGGTTATGGTACAAATTTTTGCCTTTTGAAAGCGGTACAGTAGACAAAGTGGTGTAGTTGACAGATGATAAGATAAGTGACCCAAGTGCAATGACAAACGTAGTGATATGATGAATAACTGATAACAAACTTGAGTGAGAATTTGACTTGTGGTGACAATGACAATATAGGGTAGATGTGAGACAAGATAACATCAATTAGGGTTACTAAAGTATTATAACTATTTTTAAAATTTAAAATAAATAATTAATTAGGGTTAGTATATTATTATAATTATTTTTAAAATTTAAAATTAATTATGGGTTGCGGGCCAACCCACCATAACCTGGCTCGAACCCGTTTAACCCATGGGTTAAGTGAGCCAGGTTCATTTTTAGCCAATAATCGATAAAAATAAAAAAAATCGAATCCAACCCGATTCGAACTTGTGGTGAACCGAGTTGGCTTATGGGTTAGAACTCATATTGACACCCCTATGCACAATTGCATATCGAATATGTTAAGCTCTAAATTGCGTAATGCAATATCTAACACATCATACATATATAAATATAATGAGATCTCACACTTCCTACCAAAAATAATATAAACTCCCTTAAATGAATTTGTACTAATGACCCTGACAACATTCAACAATGTAGAGAAAGAGTCATTAGTACTATTACTTATTCTTTTTCTCATCTTTTGTTGTATATAAATAATATTAATATTAGAAACAATAAAATAAACAAAAATCAAAAGGATGATTATTATTGTCATATTATAATGTCTAATATGGTCTAACTGTCTAGGTCAGATAATAAAAGTTTAAAGTGTTTATGTTATTGTATCAACGTGATTCCTTATCACAGAACTCTAATGAAAAAATATAAACCATTTCGGTGTTAAGAATTTTAAGGGACACTCAAGTGTTGAAAAAAAGACTAAAAAACTAGAGAAAAAAAATCACTCAAAAAATTTACACAATATTTGACAAAATTCTATCCACTTAAAAGAAAAACAATTTGGTCTCAAGCCATGAGATCCAACACTTATTTGTTTTTAAAAATATAACCACGTTCATAAAAGGCATCAGATTACACACTAGTAACTAATTTTGATAGGTACCACAAATACTCAAATTGTATTGGAACCACGATTAAGGAACTGGGATACGCACCCAAGCCACGATCATGGTTAAGATCCATGGTCAGAAATGATAATCGAACTGTGTGACCAAATCAACCTTTCATATTAATTCAATGAGTACACCTTAAACACCAACTAACACAAAATTCGAAAGTGATTATATTTTATTTTTTATAATTTAAGTATTAATTTAATTAAAAATAAAGCTAAAATAATTATTACTATGAATCAAATATTTTTAAAATTTTAAATTATTTATTATTTTTATTATAAAAATTTAATTATTTAAAATAATAAGTATTTTACCATAATCAAATCAAAAATATATTTGATGTGGTTATTAAAATTTTATAATTTTATGATAATCAAATTAAAAATATGTCTAAAAATATAATTAATTAAAATATTTTATTATAATTCTAATTAATAAAAATAATATTATATATTTAATAATTTCATAAAATAATATTTGTATATTTTAAAAAATAATTATCAATCTATTATTTATTATAACTTTTGATTAATTTAAATATTTTTAAGAAAATATTTTCCATTTTTTTATTTAGAATTTAAACATTAACAAAAACTTCCAGTCTCGTCATTATTTAAAATCTGTTTTAGTACGTTGACTCCAAGTTCAACAAAATCTCTTATTAAACTCAATCACTCATAAATAATAAAATCTTTTAAATTCATTTTATTATATTTTCTATTTTCATCTCCAAATCCAAATAAATGTGATGGATCATGCCAATAATTTAACGCAAATTAACTTAAATATGTATTTGGAAGTGGTGCGCGGTTTTGGTCACCTTGAAATAGTGAGAGTGGATTTGATAACAAAAAGAAATAAAAGTAAAATTGTTTAAATTAAAAAAAATGATACGAAATAAAAAAATGAGAGAAAAATTTATAAAAGTATATATTTGAGATAATTGATTTAATAAATTAAAAATAATATATAAATAAAAATAAATTTATTTATTTTTTGTAATTTTATTTATAATTTTGTAATTATTTATTATAATTATATATATTTTAAAAAATATATAATATTTGAATTTAAATTAATTATTGCACAGTATTTCCATATCATTTTTCCAACTTTCCCGTCATTTCTTTTCTTAATTCAGTTTTCGTCTGCAGATACAAACAGGGCGATAGTGTTCACTATTATTTTTTTTTTCGTGTTTTTTCTGTTTTAAGTAACTTTTGTAACCGTAGGTGATTAAAGAGTAATACATATTAAGAATTTATTTTAATGGTTAAATAATATATTATTAATAAAAAAATAAAATAAAAAAATATGAAAAAAAATAAAAAATTAAATTTATAAATATATAAATAGGTATATTTAATAATTATTAAGATTTTAAAAGAAAAATTTATAAATATTAATATAAGTTATAAGTGATGATAATAGTAATAACCAATTAGGTTTAGAATTTGATAAATTGGTGGAGGGACCTGTACGTAGCTATTGACTGGTTGTAGCCAGCTGGATTAAGAGCGGGAGAAGCCTACTTTATTTTTTTATTATTATTTTTTGAACTTTTTCGATAATGTTAATATTTTATTTTTTATGAAAAAAAAGAGATGATTCCAATATGAATAACTTAAGGATAACATACTCACAATGAATAATTTGGATTATGTTTGCGGATCGTTTCGAACAAACAGATAAAGAAAATACAAAATGCAAATGAAAAAATCGTCAAATACGTGAAGATCAAGATTAATAAATCGAGGAACATTTATCACCAATCAGAAATTCAGCATCAAAACATTTAAAAGAACTCCGAGAAAATTTTTCCCACAAAACTAAATTTTAATATTTTTTAAATATATATTATGACATAAGGCTAAAATCTTTATTTACCAATTTTTTTCAAAATTTAATTTTAAATTTAAATTTTACAAAAGTCTTTATAGACTTTGCGCCTAAGGTTAAAGCTCAATTCAAAAATTTGTTTTATCAATTCCAAAATTATTGAAATAAATACAAGTTTTAACATATAAAATTATAAGAACGTCCGGAGTACTCAGTTTTTTTTTATCTTACAAAATATAAATTAAAAATTTCTAATATCACATCTTTTTTTAATTTCTAAGTAACTTTTGATTTTATTTTATTAGAATTTTTTTTAATAAATTTTAAAATTATTTTTCCCTCCTTATTTATTTTGATTTTCTTGTTTGTATAAGTTGCTTGACAAAAGAATTATAAAAAAAATATTTAAACACTTCTCATGTAACAGATGACTCCAATATAAAATTACGTAAAATAACTAATATTTTATTTAAGCATTTCACTAAGTAATTTCCATTAAAAATGTTCTAAGTATTAAATTTAAAAATAACAATTAAAAATTTTAAATTTTTAAATCTATTATCACTTATTTGAAAATTATATAAATCAGTCGATTCAATCTAACTAAAAATTAGATTAAAAATAGGTATATTATTTTTAAATAACTGAATTTTAATTAAATCAAATAAAATGGTAAAACAAAAAAATTGACTGAATTTTTGAATTGCACCGATTGTCGTAAAAAAAATTAGAATTTTTTTTAACATACATAATATATTTTAATTTTTTTAATCATATTTTATTATATTCTTATCATATTTTAATAATTATCCATTTTATACTCTCTTATATTTTATATTTACAAGGGCGACCATAACAATAATTTTTTTCTTTTATAAAAGACATTATTATTAATAAACTTATTATATATTTATTATATTATAAAAATATTAATTTATTAAATCCGGTTGAACCCCACTTAAATTTGTTTAAACCTTAATTAAATCACATTAAATCTTTAAATCTTACACTCACATGTGTGATGTTAAAAAAATTGTCTATCATTAAATATATTTCATGATCTTATCAATAAAGGAAGATTCATTATTTTCTTAGCAAACACTTTATATTTTCTATTTTCTTAGCAAAAACTTTATATATTACTTAAAGATCAAAGTTGATTTTACAAGGGTACATAGACTTTCTTATATAGAAGTCTTTGGCCGAACTTCTCATGCAAGATGCTTGATCATGAAATTTCAAGTATCTCTTAACTTGATTTAGTGACGATAATATATCGGTAGCATAAAATATTAATAAAAAATAATAAACAAATTATTAAATTAATATAAAATAGTTACAACACATTATTTTTTCTAAAAACAATAAATAAATAACAGTCATAAAGAGTTGATAGATGGGTGAAAAATAAATTGATGTAGAATAAAAAATTAAAATCAAATTGCAATAGAATAATAATGATAATTAAAATTAAATTGAAATAGAATTTAAATAATTGAAATTTATAAAATTAAACAAAGTAATTTTAATTAAATTCAAAAATTGTTATAATAAAGTGCAAAATAAAAATTGCTTTAAAAAATTGCAATAATTATTTTTTTAAGTGATACACCTAAAATTAAATTGAGAATTGCATACAAAACTAAGTAATAAAAGAAAACTGAATTATAAAAAAAAATTTGAAAATTAAAATTTATGGGTGAGTGAGATTGCATGAAAATAGTAAAATTGTAATTGGAATCAGAAAATAGAATTTTTAAATAATTAAATAACAAAAATAAAAATGAGCATTGAATAAATGAATAAACAGAATAACAATATAAATAAAAAATTCAATAAAAATTGTAAATTAAATAAAAGATAACAAAAAAAAAATGCATAATAAATGAATTCGCCTAACAACAAACTAAACTAAAAACTAGTAACTAAAAAGAAAACAGAGACGAAGCAAAATAATAGCTTGTCCCGAATCAGAAGAGTGTGACTTTATGCTCTCATCAAACTTCTATTTATAGGAGACTGAACAAAGAGAAATTAAGCCTAAAATTAATTACAATAAAATCAAATTTTTTCCAAATTAAAAATTGCAAAATTAGATTATGAGAAATTTTTATGATTGATTTGGAGGAAATAATATATTTTGTTCTTTTTTGGAGTGATTCAATACTGATTTGTATTTAATTCTTGATTTTTGCTAGCCTTTAATTAAGCTAAATTGGATCCGAAAATAATTAATTTGTTTGATTCAAAATTTTTATTTATAACGTTTTGCAAGTATATTATATAAGCAAACTTGGGTTTCGAGAAAAGTGAAATTCGATCTGCATCAATTTGAACATTTATTTTCATTAATTTAACCCATCTTAAATTATCTTTCTCCTAAAAAAAAGAATGATGTACTATGGATGGATATATGCATATATATTTTTTTATGCTCAAATTATGTAAAATGCAACAAATTAAGAAAAATAAAATTATGTTATGTTTTTAATGAAAATAAGTTAAATACATGGTTTATGAAAAAAAAACTTAAAAAATACTCTTAGATAAAAAAATAAAAAATAAAATAATATACATCATTTAACTTATTCTAACTTCTAAACAAAAGATTTTAACCTTAAGTATTATGAAAAAAAAATGAAAATTCTTATCTTCCTCAATCTCCTTAATCTTACTTCTTATCTTAAAAGCATTTTTTATATATCAAACTTTTCTCTTCCTTTCTTTAACTTTTGGCATGTTATAGTTGTTAAGATTCCTTTATAATCTCTTCTTAATCCATATTCACATTAATTTTTCATGTCAATTATTAACTAAAATTGACGTTAAAAATAGACATATTATATGAATTATATAAACACGATTTTAATTTTGAATTTTATAAAAGAATTCCGGTAAACCATAATTAGGTACTGATTTGTTTTGAAACAACAAAAAGTAGATGTTAACGAATGCATAGGTTTTTCTGTTTTGAAGATAATAAGATTGTGGAAGGAAGAATAATTAATCCGTCTTTGACACAAAAGATAGTGTCCTCTTTCTTGTCCTCAGAACGTGCTTTTCCAATGCGTCCGAATCCAGTAATTATACAACTCAATCAGAATCACCCAAAGTGACATACTTTTATATGCGCATGCATTCAATCACTTTTCTTATACTTTATACTCAAGGATGGTCACTGATATGCTAGCCTCAAAAACTAGTATTTCCACAAATCATTAATATCCCAAAAAAATAAACCTTAAATGAACGTTTAAGAAAATATCAAACTCTAATGGGACATGTTAAATAAAAAGGACACCTATAAAATTTAACAAGTCTCAGTAAATAATAAAAATTACATTGAAACTAGTTTTTTTCTTTTTTCAATGAAACCAGGACTTTCCAGTATTTGAATGTGAGACAGAATAACGAGGCTGTATCTCTCCTATTGAACCTAATTGCAACACATTTTTTAGTTCACCAAACTGATAAAATTCTTTCCCACCAATTGTGGTTCATAGAAAGAATAAAAGAAAGAAAAGAAATCCATCACAAGTTAGAGACAGGATTTGTTACGTGTCTAAATAGTCAGAGACAATGGTTTCTCCACTCATTCCAAGAAACCACTACTTAGTACACAACACAACCTTCACCATATATTATGAATTTATATTTATATTTATAGTTATAATTATACTATTACAACTATATAAAGCTGGGGAACAAAACAAAGGTTGACATATCAAAGCAGCAGACAACTAATATCAAAGCTGACACAGCTAGCTGGCTTGTGTTATTCACAATGGCCATAAGGATTCACTTTTCCATCATTTCCATGGCTGTTCTGGCTCTCTCTACTTCTGCAGATTACTGTAAGATTTCCTACTAGCTTTGATTTGTTTCACGCTAGAAATGTTTCTTTTAAAGTGAGGTTTATAAAGGTCAAGTTTGGTTATTGGTTGTTCTATAAATTTGTTAAGATAAAACTCTGCTGTAATTATTACTTATGTTTATTTCTTTTTACATTAGTTTCGGTTAATTTTAGTTATACTGGTCCAAATGGTCCTGGGAACTGGGGAAGCTTGAGTCCTTCTTATGCAGCATGTTCAAATGGAAAATCTCAGAGTCCTGTGGATCTTATCAAGACTGATATTATCCTGAACAAGAAGTTGAAGAATCTTGCAAGAAACTACCTTCCTACTAATGCCACATTGGTTAACAACAAATTCAACATTGGGGTTTGTTCTTAAACTACTTTCTTTTTTAATCTCATATAAGCATCATTGGATAAGGCTAGATTTTTACCATATGCAACTTTAGACTATCATATAACCTACCTAGGGAGTTGGACTATACAATGATTTTTCTGTTACATAGTTTGTGGCTATCTGTTGATAATTCATCATTTTTCCATCACGAACAAATTACAGAGTTATAAGGTAAGGTTGTTAAGGAATTTCTGGTCTGAACTAATATGTCGAAGTTTCCATTTATAGGTGCACTTTGAAGGAAAAGTAGGAGACATTAATATAAATGGGAAAAACTACTCCTTGAAACAACTGCACTGGCACTCGCCATCAGAACACAGGGCAAATAGTCGAATGTATGTTCACTCCATTCCTCTCCCTCCTTGTCCACGTTCACATGGACCAAGAAATTATTTGGGATATAAAGCAAAATAAAAAGAAAAAAGTTATTATTGATCTAACCATAGTGCATGTCAAATTTTCATTGAGCTGGCAGACACTGACTATAATATATAAAGAACATATTTTTTTATATTAGAAACTTTTTTCCTACTTATTCTTTCGGAATATTATTAAAAGAACACCAAGAAGTTTTTTATTTAACACAAACTTCTTGAATGTCAAATGAGCTTAAAATTTTTCAAGCTTTATTCATGGCTTTTTAATGAGTAAAACTGGTTAGTTCAATCAAATATAATTCATTGACTATTGTACAACTATCTTTGTAAGCTATTTAATTCTAAAATCTCAATAACAATTCTTTTACATTGATTTTTTATGGGGGTTTTCTATAACAATTGGTATTCCAAGTTTTGGGCCTGTACATGGTCAAGTTTCTCACTTCATAAAATTAACTTAAAAATGTTAGATACACACTCTTTTAAACTCATTTTGGTACATTAACCATACAATTTTAATTTTATAAAATTAACTATAAAATTTGGTAAATTTCATTTTTTATTTAACGAATTTTATTCACACGTTTATAATTATTAAAATGTGTTAATATAGTGTGTTTTAATAGTGTGAATGACCAATCTTTGACACAATTTCTGAATACACAGACATGATGCAGAGCTCCATTTAGTCCACTTGACCCAAGATAACAGCGACATAGCTGTTGTGGCAGTGCTCTACAAATTGGGTGATCCTGATCCTCTCATATCCCAGGTACAGTGCAAGTCACATTCACTTGATTTCTAAATTTATGTGGCACAAATGATTGAACCTTGATAGTGCTAACATGTGGTTCTTGGGTACAGTTTGAAGACAAGTTGGCTGAGTTAGGGAAGGAGAATCTTGCAGGTACTAAGGATAACCAAATTGCACTTGGCACCTTTGATTTGGAAGATATAAATAGAAGTAGCCACAGGTATTATAGATATGTTGGCTCTCTCACCACTCCACCCTGCAAAGAGGGTGTCACTTGGAACATTCTTGGAAAGGTAACTAATTCTATGCTCCACTTTGGTAGAAATTTACATCCACAAACATCTATAATTATAAAAATTGTCCATCTTCATCACTTGTAAACTGGTAAAATTTGTATTCATTTTGTCAAAATGTCTAATGAATGAAACATGCATGCAGTTGAGGACACTGTCCAAGGAACAACTGGAGCTTCTGAAGGCACCATTGGAGCCAGAGTTCAAGCACAATGCAAGGCCACTTCAGCAAATTAATGGACGTAAAATAGAGATGTACTACCACCCCAATCACCTGCATGGAACTCATGCAAAGAATCCTAAATAAATTGCTTCATGGTTCATCCATGATATCCACTGGTTTTGCATTAGAGAATATAATTGTTCAGACATTGAGAATCAAATAACTTGATGTGTTTTGGGTTTCACATCAAATTCACTTAATACAATTATTGTTGTTGTCACTCTTCTTGATAAATCTAAACTAGATGGTTTGGTGGTTGATATACTTTATTTTATTTTTTATTTCTTGATTGAAAATCATTTTTTAAGCTAATTATTTTATTTATAAACAATATATCTAATATGTTTTCATTAAAAGAATAACATAATTCAATTTTTTTTTAATTTGTTGTATTTTACATAGTTTTAATATAATAAATAATATACATACATACATCCACATTATATATTTCTTTTTTATCTTTTATAGGAGAGGTAATTTGATATGGGTCAAAGTGAGGAAAAGAAATATCTAAATTGAAGTCGTCAAACTTCATTATTCTTCAAAGTTTTGCTTATGCAGCTTACTTGCAGAACGTTATAAATGAAAATTTTGAATCAAGCAAATTAATTGATGCAGGAATCCAATTTAGTTGAATTAAAGGCCAACAAGAATCAAGAGTTAAATACAAATCAGTACAGGATCACTAAAAATAGAAAATAAGCAAATTATTTTCTCTAAATCAGTCTCAGACATTTCTCTTCACAACAATCTAATTTTTCAATTATTTATGTGAGAAATATTTGATTTTTATTGTAATTAATTTTAGGCTTAATTTCTTTTGTTAAATCCCCTGTAAATAGATGTCCTACAATAGCACACAATCATAATCTCCTAGCCTAGGATGAGAACTGTTGTTTTGTCTCGTCTCATTTTCTTTTCCTATTCTCAGTTCGTAGTTTAGTTTTTAGTTAGACGAGTTCATTTACTGTTACTGCACTTCTGGTTTGTTTTCTTTTATTTAATTTGCAATTTCTATTGAATTTTCTAGTTTATATTATTCTATTTACTTTATTTATTCAGTGCTCATTTTAATTACTATTATTTAATTGTTTAGAATTTTTAATTCCAATACTACTTAATTTTCATTTTCAATTTATCTCTTTCCAATTCCAATTCACAATTTAGTTTTACGAGTTATCGCTTTTAGAAATTTCAAATTTAATTACTGCACTATTTTGTTTTAAAGTAATTTTTTATTCTTACACTTTTAATTAAAAATACTTTATTTTAATTTTATAAATTTCAATTATTTAAATTCTGCATCAACTTAATTTCAATTACTGCACTATTTTGTTGTAAAGTAATTCTTGATTTTTACACTTTTAATTAAAAACACTTTATTTTAAGTTTATAAATTTCGGTTATTTAAATTTTACTTTCATATAATTTTAATTATCGTTAATATTTTATAGCAATTTGATTTTAAATTTTTATTATTCTGCATCAATTTATTATTTTGCATCAATTTATTTAAATATGTGGTAATAAGTATGTTCCTATAATTGTATTATTGTGAGATTCGATACAGAGTTAGCTATACTTGCATTACTTTAACAGCTTGTTTATTATTTGATAAACATAGAATATACGATTACAAATACCGTATCATGCCATGATTCTACATGATTAATTTTTTCCATATTTAGCTTGGCATGATAGCGATGCACGGTGATGCACATTAATGTCATATCTGTTAATAGACAAATTTAGGATACTGACTATAATGGTTAGCGTAATTATAGCCTAGAATGTTTACGTATTTCATGTATATATTGTACTATCATATTCAATACAAGACAGGGGTTTTTGGAAATATTTTTATCATGGTATCGGAGCGAACCAAACTACGATATCCAACGGCCGAGAACACGATCGTACTTCTAAAATGGCGAGAGAGAGGAGAGACGGTGAAGAAAACACCATCGCCATACGATCGAGTGCCGGTGATAATCCTGGAAATGTGATTACACGGTACAATTACGAGGAGAGAATTACGAGGAATGGGCAAGGGCCGTGAAGATATCTCTGCGGGCTCGAAGGAAATGGGGTTTCATAGATGGAACTCATAAGGAACTCGAAGAAGACACATCCGAGATAGAAGATTGGTGGACAATTCAATCGATGCTTGTATCTTGGATACTAAACACTATAGAACCTAGTTTGTGTTCCCCTGTTGCATACATGGAAAACGCAAAGGACCTATGGGATGACATCAAGGAACGATTCTCGATCGTGAACGGACCAAGAATCCAGCGACTAAAGTCGAGTTGGCGAGAATGCAAACAACAAGGAATGACTATGGTTTCCTATTATGGGAAGTTGAAAACGTTGTGGGATGAAGCGGCAAATTACGAGCAAATCCCACGGTGTAGATGTGTGGGATGCAAGTGTAATATTATGACGCAACTTGAGAAACGAAGAGAAGAAGAAAAAATCATCGAGTTCTTGATGGGGCTAGATGATGAGGGCTATGGAACTGCACGGTCAAATGTTTTGGCAACGAGATCCATTACCCTCGTTGAATCGGGTGTATGGCACCATGGTGCAAGAAGAAAGGGTGAGAACAATCACCGAGGTCTAAAGAAGAGCGAGGAATGATCGTGGGAATGGCTATGCGAGCGGAAACCGGGAACAAGTTGCGCAATGAAGCGAAAGAAAAATCGAGTTGTTTGCATGCGGTGTGGAAGGAAGGGACATGACAAAGGCAATTGCTTCAAGATCATTGGTTACCCAGAATGGTGGGGAGAGAGACCACGAGCCGATAAAAGCGATGAAAAAATCAACAAAGAACAGGAACCTTCGAGGAAAAGGAGGAACGGCTCGCGTCAATATGGCGCACACTGGTGCGGATAACGTTGGTTCAACCGAAAAACCAGAAGTCGCGGGAGCGAGTAATGAGCAATGGCGAGATCTTGACAGCAATGTTGAATTCTCGCAAGGCAAATGAAGCTGAAAAGATGACTGGTAAGAAAGCATGTGACTTGTGGATTATTGATAGTGGCGCCTCTAATCATATGACAGGAACACTAGAAAACTTGAGGGAGAGTCGAGCCTTGGAAGGGTGCCCAGTGGGACTACCAAATGGTGAATTGGTGCTGACAAACAAAGAAGGATCGATTTTCCTTGATGGAGGACTGAAACTTAAACATGTTCTATATGTTCCGAAATTGAATTGCAATTTGATTTCGAGTATCACAATTGACGAATGAAGTAAAATGTACAGTACATTTTACTGATAGATTTTGTGCAATGCGGGACCACACTTCGAGGATGCTTGATTGGTGCGGGTGAACGAAAAGAGGGACTCTATTGGTATCGTGGTGTGAGTGGCATAAAGGCGTATCGGACCAATGCGAGAAAATCAACTAGAGATTTGGCACAAGCGAATGGGACATCCCGCCTACCAGATTGTTAGAAAAATTCCGCATCCGAACGAGCGTGAATAGAAATACGGATACAACTCGTGTGTGTGAAGTGTGTGAGAGATCAAAGCAATGCAGAAACACATTTCCTTTAAGTGATTTTCAAGCATCCAATATATTTGATTTAATACATTGTGATGTATGGGGTCCATATAGAACTCCCTCATCTTGTGGTGCATCTTACTTTCTCACTTTGGTTGATGACTGTTCTCGAGCTGTGTGGATATATCTCTTGAATAATAAGAAAGATGTGTCACAAACCTTAATGCATTTCATCGCCTTAATAGAACGACAATACGAGAAACAAGTCAAAATATTACGAAGTGACAATGGAGCCGAGTTTATGTGTCTTCAACGATATTTTCAGCAACATGGGATACTCCATCAAACCTCATGCACTTGGAACACCTCGGCAAAATGGGAGAGCCGAACGAAAACATCGACACATCCTAAATGTAGCTCGTGCTCTACGATTTCGGGGAGAACTTCCACTTCAATTCAGGGAGAATGCATTTTGACCACGAGGATACTTGATCAATCGTACACCCTCAACCGTTCTCCATGGAAAAACTCCATATGAAATATTGAATGGGAAGCCACCCACTTATGACCATCTACGGGTATTTGGATGCTTGTGTTATGCACATAACCAAGATAGGAAAGGTGACAAATTTGCAAGTAGAAGTCGCAAGAATGTATTTGTTGGATATTCAATCGAAAAAAGGGCTGGAAATTGTTTGATCCGGAAGAGAAGTCTTACGGACTTCGAGAGATGTTAAGTTTGTAGAACATGAATTCCAGTTTGCCTCTCTTGCCCACGGTAGACATTCGGAGGTAGGATTGCCTACTTGTTGATGTTGGCATTGTCGAGGAAGCATTGCCTGGACTTGGTGCAATGAACAATGCGAGAACACGTTGTGGAGACCGATGACGTTAACCCCACAACAAAAGATGTGCCCATAGCCGAGTTCGGGGAGGGCCACGGCTGAATGCCATGAACAAGAGCCTCCCACCCGGATCGTTCTCCCACCGGAACAAGCCGACTCTATGATGACGAGAACTAGAGGTTCTCGAGGAGCATACTTGTCCCTGCATCCACGGGGAAAGGTCTTCGTGTACGAAAGCCATCCGTGAAGCTTCGTGATTATGTCACTAACACCACTTTACAACTCGGTCCCTCAATTCGCACTCCACATTCGGCTTCCTCGGGTATGCCTTACGGTTTGACAAAGTACTTAAATTGTGCTAAATTCTCCTTCCCCCACCGAACCTTTCTTGCAGCCACTTCATGCGAGAGAGAGAACTGTGCATTTCTTTGAAGCTGTTCGGGATGTTAGATGGAGAGATGCCATGGCTAGTGAAATTCGAGGCCCTCCAAAGTAATGAAACATGGGACATTACTCCTCTACCGAGCGGGGAAGAAGCCTACGGGTTGCAAGTGGATTTATAAAATCAAATATCATTCCGATGGGAGCGTTGAACGCTTCAAAGCCCGATTAGTTGTCTTGGGAAATCACCAAGTTGAGGGGATTGACTATGACGAGACTTTTGCCCGAGTGGCAAAGATGGTCACCATTCGGACGGTGTTGGCGGTGGCGGTTGCCAAAGGCTGGGAACTTC